TACCCCCGCTCAAGGAGTCCGGGTTTTAACTGCATCCCCCCACATTTCTGGTGCCGAGACCAGGATATCACCGAGAAAATGCCAGACACACAAGCTGAAGAAAGCATCACCAGGCTGAAGTTGACTCGCCGTGGTCAACGAGCGCACATGACGAAACTTTTCACCCGAGCTGAGGAAGTCATCGACAAATACTCCGAAGAAGCTGACAAAACAACAGCATACAACTTACTCGTGGCACTCAACAAGCAGCTCTCTGATAAGTATCACGCACACAACGCAACTGAAGAGAAGATACTCAACCTCACCGACGAGGCAAACTACGATACAGTGAGTGAAGCGTCATGCGATTACCAGTCCGAGATCTACGAAAGAAATCATCGGATCACCACTTTCATAGAAAACCATCGTCCCATCACCGGTAGCAACAATGGAGCATCCGGTATCGATCATACACCCTGTGGGAGATCTAAGAATACGATTGCTTTGCCGAAGTTACAACTAAAAACATTTGATGGTAACACGCTAGAATGGGTGAGTTTCTTTGACTTGTTTAAATCGTCCATTCACGAAGACACCAGTCTCGACAATATTCAAAAGTTCACATATCTACGAAGTTTGTTAACTGGCAAGGCAAGTCATACTATATCGGGTTTAGCCCTCACCGAGGCCAACTATAAACATGCCGTGGACTTACTGGTCGCTAGATATGGACACAAACGCTTGGACATTATTCGCAAAAACAGACAATGTTTTAACTGTTTTGGAAAACACAGGGTAGCTGACTGCAAATCTCGATACACTTGTCGAATTTGCAAAAGAAAACATCACACGAGTCTTCATTTTGAAGAATCCGCGTCCACTTCGAGTCCCGCTCCGAGTCAAACAAAGAAATCACAAACCGCGGATGCCACCACGGAAGTTATAACTGTGAATTTTACCAAAGTGTCGCCACTTCCGGATAAGAACTATTTCAATAATGACCGTTGTCAAGACCAATATCCGGACACTTTAGCAACTAAACCTAAGAATGCGGGGCCGGTTTATTGAAAACTGCCATAGTTCATATTTCTGTGAGGAACGACCAACCCATTAATGCTGTCGTAATGTTCGACGAGGGAGCCAATGCTACGTTCATTTCTGCGAAATTCGCTCGTGAACTTTCTGTCACAGTTACTAAGAAGGAAAATATTAACCTTGCGACATTTGGTGACAATGCTACTGAACAAAGAGAAGTAGAATACACGGACATTATCGCCCACGAATTGGATGGTAATATGTCTACTATCAATGCCATGATTGCTCCTGTCATCACAACCAGAGTCGCGGATCAAATATCTGCAAAAGTACGCAATGCTGAACACTTGCAGGGTTTAAAGTTAGCCCACCCGATGACAACCACATGTCGTATGGATATCGACTTACTCATTGGAGCCGACCAATACTGGAATTACGTAGGGGATCACACCGTGCGTGGTCAACTTGGACCTATAGCCGTCTCATCGAAATTCGGATATTTGCTCTCTGGACCAATCGGACAATATAGAAACAACCCCGACTTCAAAGTCAACATGATGCACGCCGAGGCGACACCAACCGAAACGGAACCTCCGATCCATAACCTATGGGATTTAGAAGCCATTGGATTCACTAATCCAGAAATCGACGAAACGCAGTTGACATTCGAGTCTTACTGTAAAACACATTTAAAAGTCGAAAATGGAAAATATACCGCAAAGTTACCGTGGAAGGAAGACCACGAATCTTTACCCACTAACTTGAATATTACTGTTAAGCGGACACGTGCTATGATCCGCCGACTCGCGCCGGATGTTATTAAGAAATACGATGACATTTTAACAGACCAAAGACGTCGTGATTTCATCGAAGAGGTCGATGAAGATGACCCGCTAATCGGACATTATATACCTCACCATGGTGTGAAGAAAGATTCCGTGACAACACCGATACGAGTTGTTTACGACTGTTCATGTAAACAAGGTGCAGACTACCCCAGTTTGAATGAATGTCTTCAAGCTGGACCATCGCTCATTAACGACTTGCCGGCCATTTTATTGAGGTTTCGTGGCAACCGGATTGCTTTAACAAGTGACATTGAAAAGGCCTTCTTAAACGTGAGGCTCGATATAGACGACAGGAAATTTACTAAGTTTTTATGGTTAACCGACGTTAATGACCCGAATTCCGATTTCAAAGTACATGTATATCGCTTCAAGATTGTACTATTTGGAGCCGTTTGCTCGCCTTTTATTCTTAATTCGGTAATTAAGACACATCTCGAGAACAATAACAATATACCTACCGCGCTGAACATGAGTAATAATATTTATGTTGATGATGTTATTGATGGCACTGATACAGAAGAAAGCGCAGTCACGTACTTCAAGGAAGCCAATAAGTTAATGGATTCCGGCGGTTTTAAATTACGTGCATGGTCCTCAAACAATCAACAAGTTATGGATCTCGCCGAAAAGGATAACATACATGAGCCATCTAAGAATGTATCTATTCTAGGAATACGGTGGAAAATCGACGGAGATGAGCTGACATACAATAAGGCGGTTAAACCAATATTAACAGAACTCGTCACAAAACGAGATGTGGTGAGCTACGCATCGTCACTATATGATCCAATAGGATATTTATCACCTGTGCTCATCAAAGCTATGCTTTTTATACAGCTTTTATGGAAATTAGGTTTCTCCTGGGATGAGCCACTTACCACCGAACTTACCACACAATGGATCAAAATAGCAGAGAATATGAGAGAAACACGGAACATTACTGTGAAACGTCAATATTTCACAGAAAATGATCCACAATCTAAAGTTGATGTTCACGCCTTTGCCGACGCGAGCTCTGTGGGATATGGAGCGATTGTTTACATAACAAACCAACGTGAAACTGCCTTTGTGACGGCGAAGACCCGCGTCGCCCCCATGACTGAAACCACACTTCCAAGATTGGAATTAATGGCCGCTTTAATGGCATCCAGACTTACTAAGTTTGTCATCACAGCACTGTCAGGCAAATTCAACATTAACAATTGTTACTTGTGGTCTGACAGCCAAATTGTACTTCATTGGTTAAACAGTGATAAGAAGTTACCTATATTCGTACGAAATCGTGTTAAGGAGATCAAAGAATTCTCACATATCTACAAATATGTGCCGACATTGGATAACCCTGCTGACTTACTAACACGGGGAATTACATGTGCTGAATTGATCAACTCCAATATATGGTGGAATGGGCCATTATGGTTGAACACTCCTAATGAGTGGCCCACTTGTGAAATGTTCGATATCACAATATTACATGCAGTGCTCGAGAGAGAAAACCGTGACTTACTGAGTGATTCTGCGTTCACTGAAACCGAAACTAACATTTCCCGCCAACGAGAAATAGTTATGGATAATGACTATAATAAGGAAATCGAATCTCAAGAAATCGGTTTACACACAGTTATTGACATTTCCAGGTACAACTCAATCGACAAATTACTACGTGTAACCGCATACGTAATGCGATTCATTTCCCGCGTAAAGAAGGCTGACACAATTAACACTGGATTAATAACCGCCGATGAGTTAAAACGAGCCGAACACGTGTGGATTTTAAACGTTCAACAACAGGAATTCAGAGATACAATTCATGAATTGAAAACAAAACACACCAAACTAGGACCTATTGTACAACAACTCGGTCTATTTATAGACGAAGAAGACGTCCTTCGATGCGGAAGTCGGATCCATAACGCACCCATTGAATTTGTAACGAAATTTCCGACATTACTACCTTCTAATCACGAACTGACTAAGTTAATCGTTTTGAAGGCGCATTCATTGATTTTGCACGGAGGAGTCCAATCCACTGTGACTCAAACTCGCCAACAATACTGGATTCCGCGAATTCGACAAATTGTACGCAGTATTCTTCGTGGTTGTGTAACATGCCGACGAGTTGAAGGGAAAGCATACGCCAATCCTGTACAAGCTCCACTGCCAAGCTATCGTGTGAATAAATTGCCTGCTTTCACAATCACCGGCGTGGACTTTACTGGTTTTTTACTGACCAAGGCTCCTGATGGGACACGTGGCAAAGCTTACGTCTGCCTCTTCACTTGTGCGGTGACACGCGCCATACATCTCGAGCTGGTGCCCGATTTGTCGACCCGTACATTTCTACATGCTTTTCGCCGATTCGCCGCGAGACGGTCTCTACCAAGCCGGATGCTTTCAGACAACGCATCGACCTACCTATACCTGTCCGCTGCCGAGGAGATTCATGCTCTCGTCGATACACCGGAAATACGCGAATACTTGGCCACACATCGAGTACAGTGGACATTTATACCCAAGAGAGCTCCCTGGTTTGGCGGATTTTGGGAGAGACTCATCGGACTGACCAAAAACGCAATTAAAAAGACGTTAGGTCGCTCTCTAATTAGTTTTGACGAACTTTCCACAGTTGTAACGGAAATTGAAACCGTACTAAATGACCGCCCATTAACGTATGTATCGTCAAACTTGGATGACAATGTTGGTCTGACACCGAACCATTTACTACACGGACGACAAGTCACAGCACAACCGTATATAAAAGTGTCTGATGAAGAAATCTACGACCCGTCCTACACTCAACACGAGGAAATTAACGACCGTTACAAACACTTGTCTCGCCTCCATGTACAGTTCTGGACACGCTGGTCAACAGAATATTTGACGGCACTCCGTGAAAGACACACAACGTCTGGAAGTAAACACAACACTATACGAGTTGGCGAGGTTGTAATAATTCACAGTGACACTGAAAAGAGACTCAATTGGCAACTTGGCACAGTTACCAAACTTATATACGGGAACGATAAACTTGTTCGTTCAGCAGAAGTTGCTACCCCGCTAAACAACTTGGCATGATGAAAGACGTTAAAATCAGAATCAATAATAAATTTAATTATAAACGAAGAAGTAATCCATGGTTTAATAAAGACTGTGACAAATTAAGATCTGAATTAATAAAAGCAAAAAAAGTGTTTAAAGAAACAAAATCTGATAATGATAGGAATGTGTTTCACTCAATTAGTAAAAGGTACAAAAAATTGCTTGCAAAATGTAAACGGGAATTCAGACGTAAAACGTATGTGAAACTTCGTACGATGAAGAAATCAAAACCAGAAAAATTTTGGTCTGTTTTAAACAATTCAATTTCGACTAATGATAAGAATAATATAATTGATATGGATAGATTCAAACAGCATTTTGAAAATCTGGGACAGTCCACCAATAAGGAAAACGTCCATAATTTTGATCCCAGACTGATCACCCATTCAAATAACGAGGAAAGTAATACTAGCATTACAGTGGAGGGGGTTATGACTCAAATTAAAAAGTTAAATAATAATAAAGCAGCAGGTGTAGATTTAATTATAAATGAATTTCTGAAAAACAGTCGCGATGATATTACATCCTTGATTGTACAATTGTTTAATATAGTTTTGGACACTGGTATCGTTCCTACATCTTGGATAATGGGCTGTATTAAACCAATTTTCAAAAACACAGGTGACACCAGTGACCCTAGCAACTACAGAGGCATTACGCTACTAAGTTGTCTAGGCAAATTCTTTACAGCTGTTATAAATGACAGGTTGACATCTTATTTGAATTGTGTGGGTTCCTTGGGTGAAGAGCAAGCAGGTTTCAGGGCGGGATATTCCACGCTAGATCATATATTTGTCCTACACTCGGTTATTGATTTATATTTGCATAATAAGAAAAGGGTATACTGTGCTTTTATTGATTATAAAAAAGCGTTTGATCTGATTGACAGTACAAGTTTATGGTTTAAACTAATCTCCAACCATATAAATGGTAAAATTATTACAGTTATTTATAATATGTACAACCAAGCAAAGTCTTGTGTTATTGACGGAAGCGATACATCTGATTTCTTTAATTGTAATGTTGGTGTTAGACAAGGTGAAAATCTTTCACCACTGTTGTTTGCTATTTATCTTAACGATTTCGAGTATTTTATCAGTAAGCACTATAATGGTCTAAAATATATGGCTAGCGAGATTAAAACATATTTAAGTAATGAGGATATAGAAGTATTTCTTAAGTTATTCACTTTATTATATGCTGATGATACCATTGTACTGTCTGAATCAGAAACAGAATTGCAATCTGCGCTAAATGCTGTTTATACTTATTGCAACGAATGCCATTTAACTGTAAATGCTAATAAAACGAAGGTTGTTATTTTCTCACGTGGGAGAGTTAAAAAGTATCCAGCGTTTAAGTTTGGCAATGAAACCATTGAAGTAACATTTGATTATATTTATCTTGGCATAACATTCAATTATAATAACAAATTCAGGAAAGCAATATGTAAACAGACAAACCAGGCCAGATGTGCCATGTTTAGCTTACTGATGGAGGCAAAACAATTATGTCCACCCATCGACATACAACTACAGTTATTGTATGGATGTGAAATATGGGGTCATGCTGATCTTTCTCAGATAGAATCTTTTTATCTAAAGTTTTGTAAACGGCTTCTCAAAGTACACAAAAATACTGCAAATTGTATGGTATACGGTGAACTCGGGGTATGTCCCCTTCGTAAGTTGGTGGAAAGTAGAATGATACATTTTTGGAGTAGTATTATACAAAGTAAATCTTGCAAATTATCACATAGAATCTACAATTTATTAAAAGTGCTACATGACAGAGATATATACAAATCAGCCTGGATGTTAAAAATTAAAGGTGTTCTGGATACGGTTGGTATGTCGAATCTTTGGCAGATTGGATCAAATGTAAATAGAACGTGGCTTAAGCAAGCGATAAAACTTAGATTATCGACATGTATACACAAAACTGGAATGCCGATCTGCTAGAAAATGGGTTGTGTACCACTTATATAGATGTGGGAACCACAATTTGCCCATTGTCACAGGTCGCTATCAAAATAAGGCCGTTCATGATAGAATTTGTACCTTATGCCAAGATAACCACCTTGGTGATGATTGCACTA